CAGATAAGTTGATTTATGGAGTTTTGAACTTCAGCCTTGGGGCATTTCTTAATAATCTTGGATTTCTACATCAGAAAAACAACAAAAAAATTAAAAAAAAAAAAATTTCTAAATTTGAATGCAGTTTTTTAGAGAATTGCGACAGAAACATTTAGAGGTATGCCACTTTAAAATCGGATTCAGATTAGTTGAGTTATGGAGTTTCGAACTTCAGCCTTGGGGCATTTCTTAATAATCTTGGATTTCTACAACATCATACATCAGAAAAACGACAAAAAAATTAAAAAAAAAAAAATTCCAAATTTGAATGCAGTTTTTTAGAGAATTGCGCCAGAAACATTTAGAGGTATGCCACTTTAAAATCCGATTCAGATAAGTTGAGTTATGGAGTTTTGAACTTCAGCCTTGGGGCATTTCTTAATAATCTTGGATTTCTACATCAGAAAAACAACAAAAAAATTAAAAAAAAAAAAAATTTCTAAATTTGAATGCAGTTTTTTAGAGAATTGCGCCAGAAACATTTAGAGGTACGCCACTTTAAAATCGGATTCAGATAAGTTGAGTTATGGAGTTTTGAACTTCAGCCTTGGGCCATTTCTTAATAATCTTGGATTTCTACAACATCATACATCAGAAAAACGACAAAAAAATTAAAAAAAAAAAAATTTCTAAATTTGAATGCAGTTTGTTAGAGAATTGCACCAGAAACATTTAGAGGTATGCCACTTTAAAATCGGATTCAGATAAGTTGATTTATGGAGTTTTGAACTTCAGCCTTGGGGCATTTCTTAATAATCTTGGATTTCTACATCAGAAAAACAACAAAAAAATTAAAAAAAAAAAAATTTCTAAATTTGAATGCAGTTTTTTAGAGAATTGCGACAGAAACATTTAGAGGTATGCCACTTTAAAATCCGATTCAGATTAGTTGAGTTATAGAGTTTTGAACTTCAGCCTTGGGGCATTTCTTAATAATCTTGGATTTCTACATCAGAAAAACAACAAAGAAATTTAAAAAAAAAAATGTCTAAATTTGAATGCAGTTTTTTAGAGAATTGCGCCAGAAACATTTAGAGGTACGTCACTTTAAAATCGGATTCAGATAAGTTGAGTTATGGAGTATTGAACTTCAGCCTTGGGGCATTTCTTAATAATCTTGGATTTCTACAACATCATACATCAGAAAAACGACAAAAAAATTAAAAAAAAAAAAATTCCAAATTTGAATGCAGTTTTTTAGAGAATTGCGCCAGAAACATTTAGAGGTATGCCACTTTAAAATCCGATTCAGATTAGTTGAGTTATGGAGTTTTGAACTTCAGCCTTGGGGCATTTCTTAATAATCTTGGATTTCTACATCAGAAAAACAACAAAAAAATTAAAAAAAAAAAAATTTCTAAATTTGAATGCAGTTTTTTAGAGAATTGCGCCAGAAACATTTAGAGGTATGCCACTTTAAAATCCGATTCAGATAAGTTGAGTTATGGAGTTTTGAACTTCAGCCTTGGGGCATTTCTTAATAATCTTGGATTTCTACATCAGAAAAACGACAAAAAAATTAAAAAAAAAAAAATTTCTAAATTTGAATGCAGTTTTTTAGAGAAATGCGCCAGAAACATTTAGAGGCATGCCACTTTAAAATCCGATTCAGATAAGTTGAGTTATGGAGTTTTGAACTTCAGCCTTGGGGCATTTCTTAATAATCTTGGATTTCTACAACATCATACATCAGAAAAACGACAAAAAAATTAAAAAAAAAAAAATTTCTAAATTTGAATGCAGTTTTTTAGAGAATTGCGCCAGAAACATTTAGAGGTATGCCACTTTAAAATCCGATTCAGATTAGTTGAGTTATGGAGTTTTGAACTTCAGCCTTGGGGCATTTCTTAATCTTGGATTTCTACATCAGAAAAACAACAAAAAAATTAAAAAAAAAAAAATTTCTAAATTTGAATGCAGTTTTTTAGAGAATTGCGCCAGAAACATTTAGAGGTATGCCACTTTAAAATCCGATTCAGATAAGTTGAGTTATGGAGTTTTGAACTTCAGCCTTGGGGCATTTCTTAATAATCTTGGATTTCTACATCAGAAAACGACAAAAAAATTAAAAAAAAAAAAAATTTCCAAATTTGAATGCAGTTTTTTAGAGAATTGCGCCAGAAACATTTAGAGGTATGCCACTTTAAAATCCGATTCAGATAAGTTGAGTTATGGAGTTTTGAACTTCAGCCTTGGGGCATTTCTTAATAATCTTGGATTTCTACAACATCATACATCACAAAAACGACAAAAAAATTAAAAAAAAAAAAATTTCTAAATTTGAATGCAGTTTTTTAGAGAATTGCGCCAGAAACATTTAGAGGTATGCCACTTTAAAATCCGATTCAGATAAGTTGAGTTATGGAGTATAGAACTTCAGCCTTGGGGCATTTCTTAATAATCTTGGATTTCTACAACATCATACATCAGAAAAACAACAAAAAAACTAAAAAAAAAAAATTTCTAAATTTGAATGCAGTTTTTTAGAGAATTGCGCCAGAAACATTAAGAGGTATGCCACTTTAAAATCCGATTCAGATAAGTTGAGTTATGGAGTTTTGAACTTCAGCCTTGGGGCATTTCTTAATAATCTTGGATTTCTACATCATACATCAGAAAAACAACAAAAAAATTAAAAAAAAAAAATTTCCAAATTTGAATGCAGTTTTTTAGAGAATTGCGCCAGAAACATTTAGAGGTATGCCACTTTAAAATCCGATTCAGATAAGTTGAGTTATGGAGTTTTGAACTTCAGCCGTGGGACATTTTTTAATTGTTTTTAATTTCTACAACAGCATCAGAAAAATTAGAAAAAAAATACTTTTCCGAGTAACGGAAATATGATATTTTGAATAAAAAAATGTTTATTAATGATAAAACTCTACCCCAAAGCTTATATTATTACTAGAACCCTACGAATTTCGATAGATAAGAAGAGTATGATGCAAAAAATGTACCAAAATTATGGCAAAACTTTTCAACAGTTTTGGAACAATAAAAAGCAAATGGCGCAATGGATAGAACTTACCACCGATGTGCCACGCCCCCCGTTCCGTGCGCCCCCGATTGTGTGTGGCGGGAACCGCACATTAGTAGTTAGTGCAAGCAGGCGGTGTTCTAACTTTTGAATAAATACAATAAGAGGCGGGCTTCTCCCTGGGCGCCACTTTAGACAATGAAGCGTATAATGCTAAATATCGCTCTCCAACCGCATCCAGCTGTCGTCCTTCGTCCTTCGTCCTGCCCGCGTTTATGGTGTCTCTTGCTCGAACTATGCTGAATAATTTTGTGCGCTGCGCGGTTTGGCAACAATTGCTTTCATTACCGAGCATTTTTTGTTCGACTGGAGCTGGAGGAGATGGGCAATGGAACTGAATGGAGCTGGCGACTTGGGGGCAGGAGAGTGGTTGGCTCCACCTTGGGAAACCCCTTGATGTTGTTACATCTACTCCTGCTGCTGCGGTTTGCGCTGCGGCGTTGTTTGTGCTTGTGTACTTCGTATTTGGTATCCTGCGGCCGCAGATACATTATCCCAAATTTGCATAAAATAAATAAATTAAATATGCCAGACATGCGGTGCGCCGTTGGTCGCCTGGAACAGCCAGAGTTGCTGGCCGGATCGAGTGCACAGTGAGGAATTGGGGATTGATTCGTAACGCAATTAACTAATACTGCTTGCATTTAAGAAAGAAGTTGACAAACAAAGCTGTAAGAGAAATAAAATACATTTTGTATAACTTAATTTAGGCACAATTTTCTTTAGTGTAGTGGATACTGCTTCATTTCTTCACTTGGCCGTTCAAAGTTTTCATTTTATTATCACGCAGAACTAGAGAGCGGGTGGCAAAATGGGGAGTATTTTGAGTGGGAGGCGAGGCACTGGCCCATTGAGCAGCTGCAGCATTTTTGAAGTTGTCCAGGAGTCCGGGCCGCTGGAAACGCTGTGCCTGGGAAACGTGGCAAAAAGGCAGCCAGGATGCGCTACGTTGCGTTCGCTTGTCATGCTCCGTTGCGTGATTTTGCCCGCCCCTCGTCCTTGCGACAACCACCCACCCGCTGCTGTGTGCCCCACCCACTGGGGGGCTTCATGCACGAGTTGTTGTCCTGGCTGCTGCTTTTTGGCATCCGCTGTCTCGTGGAGCACATGGCCGTAGTCTGCGGCATTAACTTCATACCGCTTCATTTTGTTGGGCATCTTTTTTCGGACTTTTTTGGAGCTTTGGCTCCCTGAAATGGCCGCTTCAAAATTGGTTCGCTTGGTCGCCAGAGGCACTTAAATTTCCCTCCGGCGACATTTGTTTTTGCCGCTCATGTTGATGAGGATGGTGTTTTGGCGGTGGGTTTGTTGTAGTTCAATTTGTGCGCTGCGGTTTAATGAAATTTAGTTGTTAGTTGCTGCACGTTTAGCTTTGCATAGATGTCCGCCCCCAACACTTTTTTTTTGTGTGTAAATGCACGACGAGCGCCCGAAAAACCCAGCGGCCAATTTTCGAACGAATGGGCGGCCCACGGGGCGTATACGTGATGTGGAATTTGTGTATGTTAAAGGGTAATTGTTGTGGGAAATGGGTCTACTATGAAGATATGGCTTTGCCGGGGAAAATTGGTCAGAACTTGCTCTTTTTGGGCTGATTGAAAGGATTGTGATACATGAGTGGGGCACATTGCTCATACGTGCTGTGGGCCCAAAGTTAATAGCACAACATTTGCATTGCATTTACAAGGAACGTGAGCGGAAATATCTTGGCTCAGTTTTAAATGATATTTATTCATTTTAGTTAATTTTTGAGAGGTTTACAACGTTTACTCTTGCTCAGCCTGACATTTGCCGTTAATTTTGCATACTTTCGGGGGTTTTCTCTTCAGTTTTGTATATAAATATATAAGTACAAGTAGAGTGTATTCAATATGAATGTAAAAAATATTTTTGTAGAGACTTATATACTTTATGTTTTACTTAAATAGGTTAACAAAAACGGTAGGCTTATTGAAAAACACTGTTCACAGCTTAGACTTGCAATCTAACTTGCTTGACTTAAACCTAGATAACAATTGTAAAATCTGTGTTTACGGGTTGATTAAGTTCTGGCGCGAAATGCTAGTCGCTGGAATTTGGTCAGTAGGTTCAGTAGCTGTCTCTACCCTGGGACTTTCTGCATTGTCCGCTTTCCTTGGACGCCTTTGCAGCAGCTCCATCTCGAGGCGCCCCAATGGCACCTCAACAAAAAGGTGCATGAATAGGGATACGAACAAGGTGATGCCAAAGTCCGACCAAAAGCGGAGAAACTGGAAAGATATGCAGCATATAAATACTTCCAAAGTTTCTGCTAAAATGCAGGATGTACTTACAGCGTCGTAGTCAGAAAAGTGCAGACTCGTCTTGATTCGCGCTATGTGAACCGTTTCCACCAGAAGGTGCCATATATAGAGGCAGTAGGATAGCTTGGAAAGCGGCTGCCAAAAGGACCAGCTCAGGAACTCATTCACAATGGGTGCCAGTCCATTCTGGCACGCCCAGATGATCCAGCACAAGGCCAAAGGCCAGGCAATCCGACTGCAACACAGATAGAAGGCTCCAGCCAGCGCGGAAATGTCCCCTGTCCCACTCTGGGTATAAGGATATACGGCGAAGATCACAGTGGCCAGCATGGAAAGGCTCAGCATCCACAGCAGCAAAGCCAACCACTTGGGCAGGCGGCTCTTCCCTGCACTCTGGTGGTGCAGAAAGTAGCCAAAGAGCAGTCCAATCAACCAGGGAGTGGCTCTGGCATGGGTGGTGTAGTAGATGAGACGCATCTCGGTGCTGTCACCACCAAGGTTTCTATAACAGCAGTTATGTTTAGTACCCAGTATATCCGGAGTCCCCTTATCAGGCTTTACTTACCCGTATCGATCAAACACTTTCAGTTCCCGCAGCATAACTATACCAAAGACGCAGCCGGACAGCAGAAGGATTAGCAGGACAATACCCGCGACAGCCCTTCTTCTCCATTTGTAGAGGGCGATCAGAAGAAGCGGTGATACAATATACAGCTGCATATCCACCGCCAGATACCACGAATGACCCAAGCACTAAAATAAGTGGATAGCTTAACAGTCGCACAGGGAGTTTCCCGAGTAGTACGTACCATCCTACCAGGAGCTGCATAGTTTTGGACGTAGAGCAGCGTGGCCCACCAGGTATCGCGGCAGAGCTCCGAGGAGCTGGTAAACTGGTTCCACAGGGGACCACTGTCCAGTCGCGGGAAAAGAGTCATGAAGATGAGCACGGCCAGGGCCAGGACGGGAGTCAGGCGCACCAGACGGTGCAGATACATCAGTGGCACATGGAGATGCCCCTGCGATCTGAGTTCATTGGACATGAACATGAAACTCTCGATTACAGTGGTGGAAACTCACCGATCCATCTCCCGCAGGGCGCTCAGCACCAGGAGCAGTCCACTCAGCAGGAAGAAGGTGTCCACGGACGTAGAGCCGCTCTGGAGGACCATGGAGAAGGGCGTCTGGGCCCAGGCCACGATGTCGTAGGCATTAACGGTGGGCGCCAGTAGGAGGTACATGTAGCCGTGGCCAAGTATGATCCAGATGATGGTCAAGCAACGAATGCCATGCAGACATGGAATCACTCGGGGCGATGGTGCGTGCGAGGTCTTAAGCAACTGGGGTACATTTTTGCGCAGGGAAAAGGAACCCAGCAGATTGTTGGACACTTTTGGCAGAAACGCAGGAAAGAAAGTGAGAGTCTGAGTTAGGAGTAATATGAAAAGCATAGTTACTTACCTTCGCTGTAGTCCAAAACTGTAGCCAGCAGAACGACAGCGCACAATAAGACGAGAATCGCACTAAAAATAAGTTGAAAAACAATTGCATTAGTTGGAAAAACTCAACAAAGCAGTAAAAGTAGTCAGTTTTATAGTTTCATTCCAGCTGAGCTTTTGCTAAAACGCATTCTGACACTCAAAACAAGTCTAAGCGCACACAACCAGTATTTCCAGTGCTTATTGCATAAGATATGAGCAAACAAGGCTGGGAGATGCGATCTGTACTTGGAACACCCAAATTCCCGCCGTTTACTCACACGGCAGACCAGTCAAGTCCACTCATGGGCTCTCTGTGCGCCAAGCTGCAGTCCTTCTCCTGCACCGCAGTAGTGCCCGTCGAGTTCCGCCCAAACATATCCTTCAGATGGCCAGACATCCATCGACTGAGTTGGGCGGCACTGCAGGACGAGGGTATGCAGGTGCCTATGCTCAGGTTGATGGCATCTGCGCCGGCGGACTCCATGAGCAAGCTCTCGAACTGCAGACGACTCAGGCAATACTTGGCTCCGGCCAGACTCTGGCTGAGATCCAAGCTGAGGCAGGACTCGTAGTTGCCCATGTCCGTGAAGTGTCCGTAGAGCAGTCCTTGCGGAAACTTTCCCCAGGCGTCGAAAACTGCAAGATTTGGTTGGAATGGTCAGCATATAGGGCTCCACATATGTGACTTTCGACTAACCTCGAAGAGCTGGCAAGGATTTGGCCTCTGCTCCCTTGAGCAGGCGGCGCACCTCCGCCAGGCAAGACGCCTCAGAGGCACTGGAGGATTGGCTGTCTTGCAGGGCCTGCTGGAGCACCTGGTAGCCGAAGTTGCTGGACTGCATCCAAGTCAACAGCTCCTTGGAGCTGTACGCTTGGGCAGTGGCTAGGGCGGGTGCTCCCACCGCCATGATCCCGATCACGACCAGGATCTTGGGTGGGATGCGGATGAGGAGCGCCGAGCTCGCGCTGCTTAGTTGCCTGAATACCATTGCTGTGTGCGGCGGCCATGACGCTGCGACTGATATTTATACCGGGCTAGTAAGAGTCTTACTCCGGCCCACGATATGGCTCTGATATGGCTAGCACACCCACTTCTAATCACCTGGGCAGCTCTCTCGGCTGCAGTAGCTAGTCGGTCGTGCAGTGGGAACTTTCGATAGCCCCTCAGGCACCCTTTCGCAGGGTAGCAGCCAGCCCCAGCCATGCTTCTGCACCTCACTTTCGCGATATCTCAGCAGCGTGCAAAGCAACGATCATTGCGACGATCGCCGCAATCCGGTTCAATGACCGATATAGCAGCCGAATTAGATTCAATGCCACACATGGGGATGTCCGTTGCGCTCACGACGCTGATGACGCCGGGTTGAAACTACTGGCTCCAATGCAGCATCACGTAATCAGTGATGCCCCAGGTGTGCACCGGGTCACCAATGCCCATCGACGGGCCCCAATTACGTCAGTTTGTTATATATTCCAAATGGGTCAGCGACCGATAGTGATCACCTGGTGATACTCAGTAAATTCGTCACTAGCTCAATCGCTCGTGTGATTTGAAGTGGCTCACCTTGGCGAGCAGCAAGTATTTGCCACTTGTAATAGTTCGGCGGTTCACGGCTGGGTTATTGAACCCGCTGCCCTTGGAAAGGGCGATACTGCCAAGCTAACGCAGATTGTCGTTACTATTGCGCAACCATAGCCGCATTAATCAATATGCGATTCAAAACTTAATGTATTGCCAGTCAGAGCAAAAAGTGTGGGTATTCCCAAGCGTGAATTGTGAATCCGATAAATACACATATACGAGAAAAAACACCGGGAGTGGGGCGGAATACTTTCTCCGCTGGATCTCCGAATGCTCTTGTCACGCATTTTGCCAAAAATATGCTTCACCCAGCGTATGGAATGAGTGATACCCGTTAGGGCAATATAAAAAAAAAAAAAATCCTAAAATATAAAATATAAGTTTTAAAGTGTTTAAAAATATAAAATATATAATATATAAATATAAGTTCATATTGTCATGTAACCATACATTTTTGTTTTCAACTATTATCTGAGCTAACGAACCAGCTAGTTGATCAAATTTAGTGACTTCATCAAGTTTGCATTGGTTTCATTACTCATCAAATACAAACATAGAAAATAATCACTTTTTGTTGGTTTCTGAGATAATTAGAAGAGACTCTTGATAAGTATTTACAAACAATACTACAACTACAATACACCCGTTTGCTCAATGAGTTCCGTGTGTGAGCTACACAGCTGACATATTTATATAATTATTTCAAAAGTTGAGTGGAAGAGCTTTACTCATGCCGAAACATGTAGTACGTGAATTTTGACTGGTGTGTGAATGAAGATTAGGGTGGACCTTGTTCGTGCGAAAGTATTTAGGCCGCTTTCATCCAGGATACTAAGTACCTTGTTTCAATTTAACGTACCTATTTCGGATTTAAATACACTTTGTAACCTAATTCCAAAGCGCTCGCTCCATAAACTTTCGAATCATTTGAACTGGATTATCAGAACATTACGAATTTAATTAAATTTCCCTATCAGCGCGAGTAATCAAGGCAACTTCAGTTGTCAAAGTTGCGAGCTAAACCGCAAAACAGTTCTTCAACGGGCATAAACGTAATAGTAACTACGTTAATCCGACAGCTGAAAGCCCTGGAAATACATTTAACTCTTGCCTGCGCTAAGTACAATGTAAACCGTTTGCCACATTCCAAGCACACGGGAAAACCCAGAGACAAAACAGCAACTTTGGGGCGAAAGGGAGGTGAAAGTTGTTGGGGGTGGCAAGCCGAGTTTCGACACATGTTGCCGCAATAAAAATGTCAACACACACATAAAACATCTTCTAAAATGGCATTTGCAGCAGGCAGCGAATTGCGAAGGACCAACCGGGAAAATGCGAATATTTTTGAAGCATAATAAATGGAGCTCGGCGTGGGAAAGCGTCGTCTGAGAGGAAAACTGAGCCAGGGAAATCCCCAACCACACGTGCTTAAAGCCCAGACTCACTCACACACACTCGCACAATGCCGGCCATTAAGCACGCATTCTTTGGCCATAGAAATTTATAGACCAGAAAGGAAGGCGACGGAGAAAGTGAGAGAGCGAGTGGGGCAGGGAAAGTTGGGACGGGAAACGTGGGTAGTGCGAAATGTGTCGCGCACAGGGTCGCGCGCTTTACTTTCACTCTCGCCGGAACTTTCATTCAAGGACATGGAGCAGACAGGACCTCCTCGCAAACCGCTAATGGCGGAACCGAAAAGAAAAGGATACATGCATTTTATACTCTCCCAGCGGGCATTGTCGATATCTCAGATTTGGAAGCTATCATTTCCATATCTGAATATTATTATTTTCGCTATAGTACGGTGTAGTATTTTTGGGATAACTTTCCAAAAAAATTATCGGAAAAAATAATGGTATATCTGGTTGAACTCGTACTAAAATTTGCAATCAATCTGTATTTACACATAGTAATTTATTTTTTGACCATTTTACGCCCTTACCATAATTTGAAAAAAATTCAAAAAAAAATATTTTTCGGATTTTTTTAAAATAGTGATACCAGACCAGTCGTTAGTTCTGGTCATTAGCTGTTCAAAACAGTAGAACTTTTCAGTGTAGCAAACTATTTAGCCAAGCTTCGACAAAGGATTAAAAGGAGAAGTCGTACTGTTTCCAAAACTCCTTATCCGAGTTTTAAAATCAGTATTTTTTTCATAACTTCCCCAAAAATGGTCGAAAATAAAAATGTTATACCTCGTTGAAATCGTAATAAAATTCCCAACCGAACTGTATTCAAAGATAAATTTCCTAATTTTTTGTCAATTTTGGCAAAAAATCACGATGTAACCCCTTTCCAAAAATGGAAAAATGTACAAAAATTTTAATTTCTGAAAATCATCAGGAAAGTGGTTGGTGTGGTTAGTTCGGGCTATTTTCTGGCCAAAACAGTCGAAACGATGGCTGTGTGCCACATTACAGCCTTGTTTTGCGTTGTTACTTCAAAGAGCATCCGGATGGAATGACTTTATATTCTTGCCTTATCAATTCCCTGCTAGACTTGCCTGCCAGCTGAACAGATCTGTGACCCCAGCTCCTCCATCAATAAAACCCTGAGCTGAATTTAAAGAAGAGCCAAAAAAGCTAGGCTGCTGGGCGTGTCGCCTTTAATGAGATAATCTGCGCCACTCGTCGTAATTTTACGTAATTGAAGGTTCACTTGCAGACAGGCCCCCACTGCCGACTACCGAAAACGGGGGAGTCCGGAATTTTGGGCAGGAGATTGGGGGCGATGGCAACTGGCAACTGGCCGTAATGATAGTGGTGGGCCTGCAGCTGTACGTGCGTGTAACTTGGGGTATGTTCCTCTGATTCAGAGGCTTCCATCTTGTCTGCACTTTTGGCGGAGCTTCCTGGGATGGTAATCTGCAATAAATGAGGCATGTTGGAAGATTTATTTGATTGCTTTATTTAATATTTTAGAAAAGGCAGATGTTTCGCTGCCACTCAGCGGGATGGGGCTTCTTGGAGGGGTTGGCTCCGGCTTTACAGTCGGCGTTGAGTGGCTGACTATGAGTTATGACGGATATAATGAACAATATACGCATTTGGGGCCAGAATGGCAAAGGTAACCCGAGCAAAGTTGAAGAGCATTGCAGTGAAAGTGATATACGATGCATATGAAAATTGTAAAGACGATAAGTTATGCTGTGTGCATGTGAGCCATTGTGAAATGCTACAAGAAAATGGATGGAGTTGTTTAATTTATGGGTGACAACGGTGGCTGAATAAACAAATTAAAAGCTATCGCCTAGGATGGCAGATATTTAAAGGCATTTCACGAAATTCCTTTCAGCTTTAAACATTTCGAAGCGCACCTTGCATAAATTTCGCTTCATCAATTTCGATTAATCCCAAGTCCGGGCAGAAATCTCTGGTAGACCCAATTTGCAGGGCGGCCCCCGAAGGGCAATCCACAATTAAATGCTCCGCTCATTGCGACATCGTTTATCACTTCTGCCGGAGTCCTGGAGTCCTGGATTCTCCGATTCTCTAGGCTCTGCCCGCCATTATGGTTGCTTCATTACAAGCGATTAATTTTGATTGTTTCGACCAGAGCAGCAAGAAAAAGTGCCCAATGAAGCACTGCACAGTTCATCCTGAGAATATCCTTCTGCCTCGCCGAGAAAGCGCCATATTTCACCCAACAGGAGCCACAGTGCGGATATAAGGACTGGGAACTGTGACCGAAATTAAGCACACAGAGCACAACTACACGAAAACGTAATAAAATCATAATCGTCGGATCAACACAGTCATCAGCGGTGTCACAACAGGCTACCAGCGGATGATGAGGACGCAGACAGCCGAGGATGCCACTGGAGACCCAAGGAGCAGGCTGGAGCAGCCAGGAGCAGGCTGGAGCAGCCAGGAGCAGCGAAATTGCACAAGCAATTGCCAGGCGAAACTCAACGGTAATTACAGTAATAATTCAAAAGAGATTTGCCCCCACCTCGTCCAAAAAAAATAGAGCAAAAAACACACTCCAGCCAAGAGACAATGAAGGCGACGATGCAATCCGGGCCAAAAGTGGCAATTGCCACGGCCAGAGACAAAACTGCACAGTGGGGCAAGGTAAGTGGGAGAACGAAATAATTTTAAAGATTACTTTCGACCACATGGGGACTCCAGCACTCCTAGTTCTTGAAGTCACATAGGTATTTGACTTGAAATCCTGTTTTTAAATTGACATATAATGGATTTCGGAGCCAATCCCCTTCAAAATCTCCTAAAAATCCCTACTCGCTGATTTGGGTATTTAAGAGAATACATTTTAGCTGAAAACAAATGAAACGCAGCCCACTGTGCCGGGAAGACGGAACCAGGGTGGCTCTGCGTGCCACACGCCCACGCACACGGAGCGCTGATGTGCAGCTTCCGGTCCTAAGCGACGCACAGGTGCAGGCCA